TAAATAAGTAGTTGAAGGGTTAAATATATGAATTGAGAAGATGGTGGCCATGGAATACGCAAAATAGAGAATTTTGGAAAGAGAAAGAGGAGTGGGGGTACGTAATAAAGATAAAGGAAAATGGGTTATGTAATAAAGATAAGGGCAAAAACTTGGGTTAGAAACTCTAAGAAACATGAACAAGAAAATATGATATGGCAAAGCACGTCAATTTCGGTGCCCATTTGGTGATTTTCGTTCGGTTACTGTATCATTACTCTAATAAAAAAAGGACAAAGCTTGGGTTCTCCCCTAGGAGGACTAACTTCATCTCTTATAAAACTTAGACACGTGTAAAATTAAAATAGTTTAAAATGGGCATTTCCTATCTTTTTACGGGTAAAATCGAACCCAACCTGTATCTGAAACCCTAATCATCATTCTCCTAAGCTCGTTGTGGCAGCCGTCCTCCTCCACTACTCACCATTTCCATTCTTTCTTATATCTTTGCCACAAATTTATTTCCCCAATCCCACTGGTCCATTTCCATACCCCCAATCTCTCTCTATTCAATTCTATCCTTAATCTTTTCCTTTGCATTCTTGTCTGTCTCTTTGACTGCCAATAGGAACAAATATTTTATATCGATATGTGACACAAATATATTATACTCTACAAATTAAAAATTAGGTTTTAGAACTAGAGGACAAGCTAAGATGAGCAAGTATCTACCCCTTAAATCTATCCTCTTGTTCTTGGCAATGCTCTAGTTATGTTATTTGAACTACGTCCAAAGCAGAGAGCTATCATGATCAAACTCTTTGGGCTTTTGAAAACAAATCTGTGAGATATATTTTATAATTGGCTAATTTCGTTGTCAAAACAAGTCCGATCGAGTCATAATTTTTCAGTTCTAAAAATTCAAGATTGAAGATCGGATGCGAATTTGAAGAAATTCAAGTGTTCATGGTATACTACACTCCGAGATGATGATAACAATGTTTTAGGAAGGTATGTGATTGAGTGAGAACACTTTAGGGAGTTCAGAAGATTGAAGGAAACAGAGATTTCACTTCTGTCCACTGGGAACCAGTAGGAGAATCCTTGAACCGGTAGCAAAACCTTGGTTCACAGTAGAATTCTTCCAGACTTTATGGATTTCGATTTGGATTTGGATTTAGGAGTCCCTAGTTTACGGGATTCCCGAGTTGTAATAACTAAGATTATGGATTTAAGCTTCATTTAATGATAGTTTTTCATTTCGCCATTATTTCTTTCATTATTGTATATTGTATTCTGTATTTGCTTATTACTAGGTACTTGATGTCTCCTAATTTTTATGTATAAGCCTAGCCAACTTATATATAAAAATTAAGGGGTATCACAATGAGTTTTCCTAATAATTTTGTAAGCATCTTATATACATGCTTCTAAATCTCATACATATTTCACATATAAACATTTCATATATGTGCTTTACTTCACATACGCATTTTATTTACATGGCCATGTAACACATTCTTCATCATTTAAACACATAAGAATGTAACAAGTAAGCACTGGACAGTAAAAACCGAGTCATGAGATTGTATCCTTTGACTCGAACAGCTCCTCTGTAACAAGCTGGATGGAAACTTCAGAAAACTCATGAAATTGCAATAAAGCTCAAGCAATAATATCCAGTTCAGCCCATTGTTTCTTATTAAAAAAATCATTACCAGATTTCCAAAGATAGAAATGAAATTATGTTGCTTCAAAGATACATCCCCACGCAACGGAGATGAAGAGTTTTCATTAAAGGATGTACTACATATTTCGGAATCGGTATCCCTTGACTCGTAGGTATAGCAAGGATCCTCTCTGCATTAGACTGGTTAAATGTCTTCTTTTTTTAATTTTTTTGCATGATTGAATAGCTGTTTAACTAGTGACTCCTTCCATTGGCATAGATTGTGGTCAAACAAATTCAAATTGATTATTATAAGGATGAGGAGAAGGTGAAAGTCTACAATACTCCGAGTGCCGGGATGCCGTATCCTGAGCTTCCCAGTTGTTGGATTCTCAGCTATTGGATCATCCCGCCCCACCACCACATTCAATGGCCGAAAATTTCGGGAGTACTGTACGGCTTGTACGTTGAAGAAATCGTAAAAGAAGACCTGATTCCAAATGGTAATTTTCCATTTTAAACATTCCTTAAATAGGTATTGGCCACTACCAAAACTTCTCCAAGCCCAAGAGACAATCATCCGACTAAGTATGATTCTAAAAAGAGACATTAGGAAAAAGGAGTGTACAAAAGCTGAAAGAAACCGAAAAATCAAACCGGACCGAACCGGTCGGTTTGGTCCCTTTTTTTTACAAGAGGAAGTTGACAGCAAAAGATGATTGATGGTATCTTCATACAATTTATGCCGTTCATGAATGTCACATAGTTTTGTGGTTAGTGATAATTTTATCTTATTTAGTTTTCTTCCAATCACACTTGTTATGGATCAAATTGGCTGAGAATTAATATATTCCTTGTTACCAAACACCGAATATGTGGTCTTACAAAGTTTTGAATGAACGAACAGTTAGAGAGCTGGATTGCATTGTATAGGACAGTTTAATTATAAAGCAACGTTCAAGTGTTTCCAACCCTGATTTTAAGTAATATAATTCATGAGCTGACAGAGAAAAAGATACCAGTATTTACTTGTTACCAAAAGAAAAAAATAAAATAAAAAATTGAATTCGATTCTGTCATATTTTATGACCATAAAGAGATAGAACCAACCGCAAACAATATTTCCTTTATTCTCACAAACATTATCTTTATATTTTTAATATAACGGAGAAAAAAATAGGTATGTATCAGCACATAAAAATAAAGAAGAACTAAACAAATTAGATTCAACCAAAAGACATTCATTATAGTAGTAGTCAGTTTCCTAACATAGTTGGCAAAATCCAAATTGAGGGCGGCATATGATTATGTGACGGATCAAGAGTGTAATGTGTCCCAAAGCTTCCACTCTCTACATTGAAGATGCCATTGTCACGGCGACCACATGGGGGATGGAAATGAAGGTCAATATAATCATCGGTGTAGTATATAGAATTTGGCTGGCAGCCTGGCCATTTGGAAGCTGAAATACAAATTGAATGGTTATCTCCCAAAAACATGGCGTCTCCGTCCAAGCCCTTCATTTCAACCCGCTTAGGCAAACCCTGTTCAAGTTGCTCTAAGAGCAACTTGAAAACCTTAAACCCTGTAGTTTCATGCTTACAATCATTATGTTCATCATATACCATATTCCTTTGCACAAGAAGTAAATCCCCGCGAGATGATTCAACAAGATACGTCCGATCAAAAACAACATCAGTCTTTGGTGCAATTACCTTCACTTGAGCAGCCATACTCTCCCCAACCCTTTTATTAAGATCAACCATTATGATTCTACTCCAATAACCAACTGCAAAAATATTGTCTTTATAATATATGACATCATGGATGAGGAAAAATCTCTCTCTATCAATGTAAGTCCAAGCTTTGTCTCCTGGCTAAAAGAATGCCAGTGTTTTATTATCACTATAGATAGCACTAACAATATAGTCATTAGGAGATAAAACAGGATCAGCAGACACTGTAGCTTTCATAACTTCAAAATCAACTTCATCCTCAACAGGTGTTGTGTCGTAATATCCAATTTCGGGGTCGATATCAATATAGTCTTCAACGTGGTCAAATTCTGCACGGTCCATAATCGGAGGAAGCTGAATGGTATCGCCAGAGAATGGATTGATTAGGGGTTACGCAAATGATTCTTCTAACAGTAAATAACCAACCATGTGAGGAACCAAAAAGCCTCTTTGTGTAAGGTACCCGTAACTGAAAGTCATATAATTTATTGTGAGTGATGCTGTATAGACTACGTCTTTCCTCCCTATTATCTTCTGTAGGAACCATTAAGAATGGAACTTGTCTACAACACTTCTTTTGAAGGAATTCAACTTTGTTCTCCATTACTACATACTGCCATTCTTTACAGACTACACCAAAGCGAACATAATCGGACAGCAAAACCAGTTTGTCGAGAATCGTAGCTAATAAATCCTTAGGAAGCCATGCCCAATCTGATTCCAATAATGAGTTCATTTCCATAGCCAATAGCACTGCAATGTCAAAAAAATCAACTTACACCATGTCTACAATACTATTAATTGGCAACAATCTGAACGCCATTCATAATCTTAAACTAAATGATTCACAAAAAAAAAGAAAAAAGAAAAAGAAACACCCAAAGCGGTAAATCTGGATTTAGTTTGAATTAATTATAAACCTAAATCTGGTGTTATCTATTTATATAAACAAAAAAGAAATATATTAATATATCTAGATACATGAAATATTCCAGCATAAATTTGTTCATCACTACTCACCTGAACTCTGGGCGATGCAAACCAATAGAACAATCAATGCCAAAAACGAACAATGAGTAAAGATATGACGCTGTACTCACCTATATATATGTGTGTGATAATTCTTTTCCCAATAAGAAAGCAATTGTTATAGGAAAGTTCTTAGAATCCTAATAGAATAAGGACGAGTCCAAGGTTTTATTTCCTCGTCTTGTCACTCTCCGGTTTTATTTCCTCGTCTCGTCTTATAAGGATAGATATTTATAATAATAATAAATGATAAATTGGAGACACTATCCAGAAGAAGAAAAAAAATATATATGTACAATACATGATGTAGTTCAATAAAAGAGTGATACCTGTCATGAATTGAATAACAAATCGGGTTAACTGGATGAGGACATATTCAACATGATGATATGGCCGCTAGGATTTTTTATTTGATCCGACAATTCTTATGGTCTGTGCAACACAACTCGGGTTCGCTCGGATTAGGATTGAAAATCGTGTAACCGATTCGATCCAATCCTTCAAATATATCTATCTATACTATTATATTATATATTTTATTTATTAATTTATATACAAAGAGTTTTTAAAATAGTTTATATAAAATTCTAACACAAATTATTTATTTATTATGAGCTTTTATTTATTTTTAATTAATATAAGGTGTTTTGAAGTGTTTCTATAAAACTCAAATTACTTATTTATTATGAATTTTTTAATAAAAGAAAATTTAATTAGGCAAGAATATATATAAAGAAAATTAATAATTTAGTCTCTCTAATTAGACAAAAAAAAATATACAAAAAGAAAGAAAATAAATAATTTAGTCTCTTTAATTAGACAAGAAAATAATATATAAAGAAATATTTACGTCTTAGTAGATAAATAAAATATTCAATAATTATATTTACTAACTTGTTGAATAATATTTATTAGTAAAATAAGTATTAGTGAATTGTAATAATAAAAAATAGTCTTCATTTTAATATTGTTTTAGGAGTTTATAGATACATCTATCAATAATTAAATTTCTATTGAAAAGTTTCATTAATAATTTTTATTTATCTCTTTTACTTTGTGTCATTTATATATATATATATATATATATATATATATATATATATATATATATATGTATGTATATGTTCATTGATCATTTTAGAATTTAGCTGATTATATTTTATAGAATAATTTTATAATATATTATTGTATAGATTTTGTAAATTGTCATCATTATTTAATTTTATAATTTGTAATTGTAAATTAATTTTATTGACTATTTGAGAAAATAATTGTTTAATTACTTTGTTGAGTATTAATTTTAAATTAAATTTGATTAGTAAAATTAAATATATATATATATATATATACTACTCACTCCATCCCAAAAAAAACAAAAGTACACCTTTCATTATTGGTTGTCTTCAGATCCCTCTGCATTTATTAATTTAACTTTTAACATTTTTTGCCTTGTAAAAATAAAAAATAAAAAATTTATTTGTTGTCCCAAAATAAATATCTCATTTGAAAAGCAAAAGTACTATTTGTTTTGTAACGTTACCAATTTAATCTTCTTTTATTAAACTTATAAAAATAAACAATCATATTCATATATGGGACCCACTATAAATTTTTTTTTTTCTTTTTTTTTTTCCTGAATGAAGGATATTTATAAAAAAATTATAAACAATAATGTATATGGAAATACAATGAAGGCATACCCTCACTTTAGAAATCATAAACTACCCTAAAAAAGGAAAGAGCAGAAAAGAAAGCACTGCTAAGAACAAATTGGTTACAAAATATCCTGAAGGCATACCCCAATGACATCAAGAACATCCCAAATAATACACTTAGCTAATTCCATTGCATCTCTACATATATCATTATGCATTCTCTCATTTCTTTCTATCCAGATAAAATATAACAACGCAGTAAACAAAATTCTAGACATTTTGTTACTCTTTCCTAAAAAACGTTGATTAAATACCATTACCAAGTTCTGCAAATCCAAGACCTTTTTTAAATTCCATCCAACTATGGCAAAGATACCATTCCAAACCTTCCAAGTAAAATCACAGCTGCAAAATAAATGATCCAGAGTTTCCACACTCTTAAGACATAAATAGCACCTAGATACAATAGAGAAACCTTTATTTTGCAGAAAATTATGAGTCAAAATACCCTCCTGCAAGACCAAAACAGAATGAGTAGACCATCTTGGACGCCCCCCACTCCAGCATAAACCATACCAGCAAACATTATGTCTTGGACTTCTACACACCTCCCAAGCTGCTTTGAAACAAAAATTGGACTTCCATTTTAATTGATCAACTCCCCCAAGTATCCTATGATTGTAAAAACATGTCTCAACTCCCCCAAGTATTCATTTTAATTAATCAACTCCCACTATAAATATTTTGATAATTACTATCATTATAATAAAAAGAATAATGATAGAAACATCGAACATTTATCCCCAAATAGGCACCGAACCTAACGTGGTGAGAATCAACCACGTCATCTACTTAAAGCTTCCTCAAAAAAAAAAAAAAACTGCAAATGACAAAGATACCCTCATGTTCAGTCTTATTTTCTTTTCATACCCTTCATTTTTCTCTCTTTACGATTCTCTTCACTCTCTCTCAAATTGCTCACCCATCTCTCTCGACTGACATTCTCTTCACTCTCTCTCAAATTTGGGTCTAAATTCTCTCTTTTCCATCCCTTTCAAATTCTGTAACTTTTTCTCTATTTAAAAATTTACCCATCTCCTGTCTATCTCTATGAAAATTTTCTTCACCGTACCTTTTCTCTATCTAAATTTTCTTCCTCTGTAATCATTTTTTCTCTTTAAAAATTTATCCATCTCTTTCTCTCTAAAATCTTGCACGCAAACCTGGATCTCTAAACTTCATCAAAATAGGTTTATTAGTCTATATCATGGTGGCTTATTAACTTGGTCTGGTGTTCTTCAAAGAGAGAAGACAAAAAAAAATAATAATAATAAGTAGTTGAAGGGTTAAATATTTGAATTGAGAAGATGGTGGCCATGGAATACGCAAAATAGAGAATTTTGGAAAGAGAAAGAGGAATGGGGGTACGTAATAAAGATAAAGGAAAATGGGTTATGTAATAAAGATAAGGGCAAAAACTTGGGTTAGAAACTCTAAGAAACATGAACAAGAAAATATGATATGGCAAAGCACGTCAATTTCGGTGCCCATTTGGTGATTTTCGTTCAGTTACTGTATCATTACTCTAATAAAAAAAGGACAAAGCTTGGGTTCTCCCCTAGGAGGACTAACTTCATCTCTTATAAAATTTAGACACGTGTAAAATTAAAATAGTTTCAAATGGGCATTTCCTATCTTTTTACGGGTAAAATCGAACCCAACCTGTATCTGAAACCCTAATCATCATTCTCCTAAGCTCGTTGTGGCCGCCGTCCTCCTCCACTACTCACCATTTCCATTCTTTCTTATATCTTTGCCACAAATTTATTTCCCCAATCCCACTGGTCCATTTCCATACCCCCAATCTCTCTCTATTCAATTCTATCCTTAATCTATTCCTTTGCATTCTTGTCTGTCTCTTTGACTGCCAATAGGAACAAATATTTTATATCGATATGTGACACAAATATATATACTCTATAAATTAAAAATTAGATTTTAGAACTAGAGGACAAGCTAAGATGAGCAAGTATCTACCCCTTAAATCTATCCTCTTGTTCTTGGCAATGCTCTAGTTATGTTATTTGAACTACGTCCGAAGCAGAGAGCTATCATGATCAAACTCTTTGGGCTTTTGAAAACAAATCTGTGAGATATATTTTATAATTGGCTAATTTCGTTGTCAAAACAAGTCCGATCGAGTCATAATTTTTCAGTTCTAAAAATTCAAGATTGAAGATCAGATGCGAATTTGAAGAAATTCAAGTGTTCATGGTATACTACATTCCGAGATGATGATAACAATGTTTTAGGAAGGTATGTGATTGAGTGAGAACACTTTAGGGAGTTCAGAAGATTGAAGGAAACAGAGATTTCACTTCTGTCCATTGGGAACCGGTAGGAGAATCTTTGAACCGGTAGCAAAACCTTGGTTCACAGTAGAATTCTTCCAGACTTTATGGATTTTGATTTGGATTTGGATTTAGGAGTCCCTAGTTTACGGGATTCCCGAGTTGTAATAACTAAGATTATGGATTTAAGCTTCATTTAATGATAGTTTTTCATTTCGCCATTATTTCTTTCATTATTGTATATTGTATTCTGTATTTGTTTATTACTAAGTACTTGATGTCTCCTAATTTTTATGTATAAGCCTAGCCAACTTATATATAAAAATTAAGGGGTATCACAATGAGTTTTCCTAATAATTTTGTAAGCATCTTATATACATGCTTCTAAATCTCATACATATTTCACATATAAACATTTCATATATGTGCTTTACTTCACATACGCATTTTATTTACATGGCCATGTAACAAATTCTTCATCCTTTAAACACATAAGAATGTAACAAGTAAGCATGCTTCTCAAAACATTAAACACTTTAGCATGAAACACATAGTTAATCCAAGTAAATTCTTCACCCCATCTAGGTAAGCCATTACCCGGCATCCTAAAGGTTTTCAAACCTTTACTCTGATACCAAATCTGTAACGACCTAAACCCGGAGGTCCAGATCACTAACCGGGTCCTAGTCGGACTTGGAGACAACTAAGGGTAAAATGGTCGTTTCTAAATAATTGAGAGGAGTGGGTTGAATCTAAATGAGTCAAAGATATCCATTTAGGTCATCACAGCTATATAAACCTATTTCATATGGTTCAAGGTGCATGAACACTATTCACATGATTAGCCCCTTCTGGTTTAGAAGATTTCTGGAGTAGTATACACTAAAATGATAATAACTTTCACTATAGTTGGAATTTTGGAATGAAATTGGTATCATTGGAAATCTGACTCAAAATAATTGAGTTTAGATTTAAATTTGACCCAATTCGGT